TTCCAAGGTAGTGTTGTTTTTTTTTGGGGGGGGGGTTGTTACTTCCCATCTCTTCCCCTCTCCCTACCTATTACCCCCATAGTTACTGGAAGAGCAATTGGTTATATGTTTCTGCCAACTTCAATGTACTCTAGCCATACCTCATACTTATTCAAAGATTATAAATCCACCTTTGAAGACCATTATCCTCATCTTCATTGCCATATTCACAATGTCTCCGACCTTCTTCAGGTAAATGTAATTTCAAACCAAACCCCTTATTTCATCCATCGAAGTAGATTGTTCTAATTCCACGTGCCGTGCCTCTTTCGCATGTCTCAGTTATTTCCCTTTAACTCAACTCTCCAAGTTTTGCTTCACCACATCAGCTTGGTATTAAACACTCAACTCTTTGGGTCCAGTCACTGCATATAACCAATGCCTTTAGCTATTGGGCTATGTGTCCTTGAGGACTGAAATGTGAATATGTCAATGAAGATAACAGTCTGAATAATGTAAACAATCATAATACCTCACCTCAGAGATATAGACAAATACCACCTTTGCGGGTTGTTATATTCTTTGTATAGTCATGTTCTCTACCTTTTTTCTCTTTAAAACTGGAGACTAAATGTACAGTTGGAAACCTGTTAAGAGCTTTCTTTAGTGTTCTTTTAACTTGCATTGAGGAAAGAACAAAAACGACAAAACATAACATTTTTTTTTTCATTGGAGTTAAAGCAATGATGCTGAATGTAGCCTATGAAAATCATTGAGTTGGGAGTACAGTGATTGTTTTGTAAAGTTCGAGCAAGGTGAATTTGACTATGATGACAACCTCCACACGTTGCTTGGCCTCATTAATTTGGGATTGATGACTAGTAAGAGCTTTTTCATAATGACCCCTACCTAAAAAATAAAAGGCAATTTATGGACTGAGAAGCCAGAAAGTCATACAGCTACAGGACAATTCTTGTTACCTCCCTCCTCAATTTATAATATAGTGTTTAAATATAAAATTCTTAATCATCATGTGAAATATTCAACAAATTTACCACCTTCAAATGATTTGTTTTGATCCTACCTTATATAGTAAAAAATAAAGAGATGTGTTCAATGTTCAAAATTTCATTGACAACTTTGTTGTAGGTAATCATTTTTGATGAATTCAAAAACTTCCAGAGCATTGGCATAAGTTCCTAGAAAGTCAATAAAAATATCTAAATTTAAAAAACAAACATGTACTGAGTTTTATTTAAGTAAACTTAAAGAAATTGTTAGAAACTTTTGCATCCACATTACTTCATCATCATCATCATCATCATCATCCCCTTGACTTTTGTAATCATAGGGTGGATCCAAATGCAGAAGCCACACTCTTTTCCACAATGGTCTATCAATGGCAACCAATAGTATAGTAATATCTGTCCATTGTTTGACATTGTCCAACCAGTTTTTGCATTGACGTCCTCTCCTACGTCCACCTTCAACAGTGCTTTGCACAGGCTGTTGTGCCTTGTAATGTGTCCAAATTATGCCATTTTTCTCAGTTTGACAGTGGTGATAAGAGGTTCCTGGTGTTCCACAAAACTTTCAACCCATTTCCACACACTCATTGGTTTTTGTTCCTAATAGAAAATGCCAAGAAATCATTAGAGAATTCAATGTAGGTAACAGAATTATCCAAATCATCCAGGCCCTATATAAAGATGCTACCAGTGCAGTTTTTCTGGGTACACAAATGGGAGGATTCTTCTAGACAACTGTCAGCATGCAACAAGGATGCATACTTCCGCACATTACTTAGATACTTTTGAATATTAATTAGGAGGCTTTAGGCAAGAAAAAGTTTGCTTGTAAGTGTTGTACTTGTTCTGTCAATGAAATATGGACATTGTGGTTTTTGGATTTTTTTTTTCTTTTGGGAAATTAATAATTTTAAGTGTTTATAAAACCTTAATCATTGTGTTATCAGATATGCTCTCTGATAATGAGCTAAAAAAACGTGTATAGAGAAAATATTCTTGCCAGCAAAAATACAAGTCCTCCTCCAAGAAATAGACTTGTATTTTTGCTGGCAAGAATATTTTCTCTATATACTTTTTTTTTTTTTTTTTTTCTATGAACTGCAAATGTAATTTTTATTTACTTATACTTTTGTACCAAAACTAGCATGGGGCACTCAGTGAGAAGCTAACTTGCTAATCATCTGCAAGTTCATAATGAGTTGTTTTTTTTTTTTTTTTTTTTTTTTTTTAAATAGCTGCATGGATTTGTAGTTTCTTTTTGTTTTGTTTTTGCTCCCTGCTGTTTTTAGAATTGATTTTTAATTCTTTATTTCTCTAAAAAATCTTAACAATTAAAATAGATATTTCAGTTTTTCCTGCATGTTTCTCTTCTGTACATTGAAAGATTTTTTTAGGAAAATAATTTTTGGTTCATCATTATGTGATAAACTTTTTAAGATGTTGGATAACATTAAGATATTTTGTTGAGACAAGGAGAAATTTATTTGCCCAACTATAGTTTAATCATTTTTATTTTCAAAAGTGAGTAACAAAAATCTTGTAGGAGTTTTAGACAATGCTAGTAACTCTTCAGTTTTAAGAGAGGAAAAAATTGTCTGAAAGAAGGGAGGTAACCAATGTTTAGATCTATAATTTTAAGCTTGTCAATTTATTAAAAAAAATGAGAGCAAATAATTTTAAAGTTTTAAAATTCTTAAAATCAATTCTATTAATTTTTATAAAAATCGTGTAAAAGTAGTTTTATTTTGCTGTGTACATATGTGATTTTTTTTAAATAAAAATATACATTTTCTTAAATTGTATGTTAAAACACATGCACACATTTCTATGAATATTCAAATGTTTCTCATAACAAACAGTGGAAATGGGGTGATTTATTTTGGATTAAGTTGGAAATTGAAATACAAGGGACCACACTAGAGCTTCAAATTTCATTGAATTTGATTTACTGACAAAAATAAATAAGAACTTTAAATTCAATTCAATCTTTTGGGATTAAAATAAAATATCAAACAGTTCCACATATCCTCAAACTTTTCTTCTCAACAATCTGATTGTTTTAAATACAAAATGGTGGACATCTTTGTAAAGCCTGCCTGCAATAACACAAGGGACTTAACTAGAGATATAAAAGTTTTTTGATCAATCTTAAATTTAAATCTATTAAAAGTTGAATACGAGAAAATGCAAAAACTTTAATCTCAGTATACTTTAACCATATCTTCAATCTTAGAAATGATTTATTTATAAAATTTGCTTTGCATCAAATCAAAGATTGTTTGTGTGTGTGTGTGTGTGTATATATATATATATATATATATATATATATACACACACACACACACACACACAGTACTATGGTACTAGTGCTTAAATATTCATGGCATAAGCCACTTTCAAAATCTGTCCAAACATCAGGCCTTTTCAATACATTTTGTATAAAATAAACTGTCCACATCAAACCCATCATCTTTCATGAAAGGATTCATCCTGCCAGCTACACAAACAAGAGATTAAAATAACCATTTATAATTTCTGTTATCAAATTCTAAAACATTGATATATTATCATTTGACAAGTTTTACTAGTTCATCAAATAAGAATGTTTCATACTATCTTATATTAAGCCTTTGCAGATGGGCCAACTAAACATGCCTGTTTGCTTACACCCAAATTTAATAATACCATTTGGTGATGGAGGGCTCTATGCTATTTAATCAGCCTAAACAACATGATAGCAACATGCCTCAGTATCAAGCTAACAAGGTATAAACTTTTTAACTGCTCAGGACACAAACATCACAATCCAAAATTAAGTTTGATAACAAGTGAGAGAGAGAGAGAGGAATATGTTGATTTCATTTTGATGATCAGATGATTACATTTAGAATACACTTGGCAATTTTTATCAATTTTTATATTATTGACTTTCTTTGGAAACTATCAAATACCAAATGAGTAACTAATGTTCCTGTAGAATAATTGGCCATGTTTAAATGTAATCAGCAGAAATGCCAAATAAACAATTTACAAAGTTTGCAATAAACAATAACAAAAAGACGAGAATGGAGCAAAAATAATACTAAACAAACAATATATGCAAGGCAAAAGTAGGCAAAGCAATAGTAATAACACAAAAAGTTAAACCAAGAATTGTGTTAAAACACAAAAGGGATACAGACAAGTGATTGCAGTGTTCTGACTTCAAGAAATAATAGAAATGTCAGATGAAACCAAAAATGAGTTTATCTTATTGGCTAGGAAGAAATCCCAGTATGCATCTGTGGGATTTGTCTATAAATTTGGGAAGGGGGTTTTTGCAGTCACTCCAGCAAAGGTTAGAACTGTTTCTGTGCTAAGCAATAAAAAGTTTACAAGAGCTCAATTATTTGAACAGAATTATTTTGTATCATGATTTGTTTGTTTTAACTTTGTTCATTATTTTTTCCTTTTGAAACTGTCTTTTCTACATATGTCCATTTGATATTTAGTCAATTTGACTTTTCTTTCCATTTGGCACTGAACTACTGCCACAGTTCTTATCATATTGCTTGGCCATAATCTTGAGAAATACTGTGTCATCTGCAAATCTTATATTGTTAAGATTGTGACCACCAATAACAAATCCAAGTAGGACTTCAAATTCTCTCAGGATCACCTCACTATGTAGGTTGAATAAGTCTGTTGACACCTCCTTGTCTTACAGTCTTTTCTATTTTTGTATATTTACTCAATTCATTTTTTATCTGAATGCAGTGGTTTGCCTCTATTATAAGTTCTGGGTTATTCTAATATCCTACCCAAATAAAACAAGCATAAATACAAGACTAAAACAATAGTTTTTATATTTCCTACAATATATTAATTATATTTTTGTGTATATTTATGAAACAAAATATATTGTAGAAAGTTTTAATATTTCCATTGCAAAATTAGTAGACAAAAAAAAAGTCTTAACTATTATTTTCCTCTTTTTTTTATTTTTTTATTCAGGTTTCACAGATGGATGATGATGAAGGCCTGTTGGTGATGGATGCTGAGGGTGGCAACACAAGTGTGCCATACCATGATGACAGTGATGAAGACATGATTCTGTGATAAGAAAATCCTGCGAGAAGGAAATACTGTTGTTGTTGTTATTATTATTGCCTCTCCCCATCTCCATTTCACTATTGGTAGCAAGGGTAACTAGTGGTATTGTTGGGTGGGCAAGATGGAGAAGAGGAACTAACTTTACATTGCCTCATCATGTTTATTCACTTTATTCCTTATTTACTCTTCTCCATCCTTCCACAAAAAGGAAAGAAAATACAAAATAAAATTAAAAAAATAGTGTACGCAACAATTTATCACCACCATTTCTAAAATCACATTCCATTCAACAATTATTACTGATCTCCTGTTGTTGGTTTGAGCTTTTTTTTTCTTTTTTTTATTTGTGTGGTGATAGTTTTGAGTTGTGTGGGATTTTTTTTTTTTTTTTTTTTTACTTATACATATTCACTTTGCTTTAATTTCTCAAATCAGTTGATTCTTAAATTAATTCTGACTTTATACTGAAACAAAATGAAATCAGATATAATTAATTTAAACAAAATTTTAATTAGCAGTTATCCATTTTCTTTTAATGCAGGATTTGTTGCAGTTAACCTTTAGCACTCTGCATTATTAATATTACTTCCCTCTTCACTGCATTCTTTTTCAAGGCTCTCAATTGCAGTATCCTTATTGTTAGTTTCACTGAAAGGGCTTTTCTGTTGCCATATCCTGCTATGACAACTATGAAATTCAAACAAATTCAAAGATGAGTCATCATCAGTGGCAGGGTAAACTTTTTGCACAGATTAATAAAGGTTAATTGCAATCTTTTTTAATTTTCAAAGCTTAGCTTCATGCTTAACACATTGATTATGAGAGAAGCTTGTCATTTGCAATTTAGAGGCTAAAGATATCTATAGTTAATTTCAAGAATTTGTGGGTTTTTTTTGGTGGTGGGGGGGGTCATACATCACATGTGTGATGGCATAAATATTGTATAAAACAGACTGTTGCCACTCGGTGTTGACCTCAGGGTCCACTTATATATAATCTGCCTCTAAGTCTCCTGCTACAATTCTATTTATAATCTTCAATAAGTTTAATCATTAATTTTTTTTTTCTCCCAAGTAGATTTTTCTTTCAGACTTCTTTTTTCTTTAATGTTTAAAGTATTATTTTTAGGATCAGTTCTCAGTTGGGAGTTTTCTGAAATGTTCCCCACCCCCCATTCATCATCATCATCAACAACAACATTTATTAAGTTTCCACCCCCCACTTCCTATGTAAACATTCTCTCTACTTCATTCACATCTTTTCTATCCAAACATTAATGATGATACTAACAATAGATTCTTCCTCTACTGGCCAATATTTCACAAAAATGACTACTTCCTCCTCCTCCTCCTGTGTCTATGCTCTGCTCTTTACAAATCCCTTTTATGAATTCATTACCACTCTTATTAAATGACAGATGACATTTGTTACTGCCTTTAATAACAACAAACACTATATCAGATCCTCTTTTTTTGAAGAAAAGTTTCAGAAGTGGTGGTATGTGGAAATTTAGGAATCAAGAGTTGAAATTGGGATATGCTATTAGAAGAATGCAGAAGCCAAAGAAATAAGGTCTAATAAGAATAAATTCTATTGAAAATGCAACAGCAATTCTTAAAGCAAAATCACTTTCTCCTTACTTTTTTTAATGATGATGATGATGATGAATTCTATACCTCATAGAACTAAGCACATTCGGTTCCCTGCAAGATTCTACCACCAGTATTGGTAGAACTGTGATTCTGGCTAGTGTACGTCTATATTGTGAGGGATCCACACCTTTCTTCTTTCATATGCCCCACACCTTGATGGGAAAGGACTGTTTTGTATATTGGGAAAAAAAATTCTGTCCAAAAGAATTTCACGCTTGATAAAAATTTAAAAGGTTGTATATTTTTCTTGTATTTTACTTTGTAAAAAGACAAAAAGAAATTCCTAATAAATATTAATATTTTTTTCTTGTGTATATATATATATATATATATATATATATATATATAAAAAAAATACAAAAAAAAAAATGCTTTCTTTACTCTTGTCTTCACACAAAAAAACCCCAAAGGTAAGCAGTTACATGAATGGTTCCTTTTCTTATCTTTCTCCATCTGTGGCAGCTATCTCCAGTTTTGAAGTTCACTCCCCATAAAAAGGAGAGTTTGGTTCTGGCTCCCTCTCCACACCCTCCTCCATTTTAACCAGACTATCATTGATCGGTTCAAGTCAATTAATAAACACTAGAAAATTGTTTTGTCTTCAGAATTTCTCAGAACATTGGACTTGATACTTTTTGTTATCTTTAATTTCAGTTGCTTTTTATCTTGACCCCCAAATTATGCACTACAGATTGGAATATAAAGTGCAAGCTTCCAACAAGACTAGAAGATAGTGTTTTACTAGCAAAATTACAGAATTACCTGACAAGATTTAAATTACTGCAGCCCAAATGGCAAAGCAGCTGCCATGGATAAGGGATGGCAAGTTAGAGAATTTTATTTTTCTCTATATTAAGGATTATTACCCTATGAATTTGAAATATAATCCCTTTCCACTTTCCTTTTAGAACTACATTATCATACTGAAGACTATCCCTCAAGTGAGATACTTTATATTATGCCATTTTTTATATGAACGTCTGTTTTCTGCCTCAAATAGAACCTGCACAAGTTGAAGTTTCTATTAGTGTCGACCACAACTTTGTTGTATTTTTTCTACTTACTAATATTATTCCACCCCCTTTTTTTTTTCCTTAATTCAAAGCACGCATAACTATTTAGAAGAAAATACAGAGATATCTCTAAAAACCAGGATACTAAGCATGTAGACTTTCTGCTAGGGTGGCTAGCCAATCCCTGTTGCAGATGCTTGCTTAGGCACATTTTTGTTCGTTCAACGCCTGCAAAATTCACCTGTATTTTATTCTGCCATCTAATGCTTTGAGTACCTGCAAAGAATTAACTTCAGATGAGACATTAACTCCTACTCCAAAAAACAAACTTATTTCCAAGATGGACTGTATACAATAATTGTCCCTCAAGGCCAACAGATAAATTCATCTTCCTAAATCATTAGTGAATGGAACAAACTTGATAAATAGCCAGAAAAGAAATGGACTTTAATTACAGTCCAGCATTTGGAATAGTCTTGGCCAGAGGCTGAAAGTTTTCAATTGAAAACAGGGAAGATGACTTTTGGAAACTTTAAAAAGGGAAATCTAGTCATTTGCAAGGAAGGCAATCATTTTTCTTTGACAACTCCCACCAGAGATTCAAAAAGTGACAAAAATCTTAACCCAAATTTCATTTTTCATCATCTAAAGCAATAAATAATGGGTACCTGTTGTGGACTAGTGCTACAGAATTAGAAACAAAGAACTTTAGTAAATAACAGAAAACCACATCACTTGAGGAATTTCAACAATGAAAATAATGACTTAATCAAGATGATGTCCCATACACCAAACAAAAAGTTAAGAAGGAAACTCCTCACCCCCTATCAATACTGGAAAAAACAACAACAGTTGGTGGATTTGAGAAATCTATTTTCCTGAAAAATCTTTAATAGAAAGATTTTATAAATTTTAAACAGCATTAGCACTTACTGCTCAGTCAGTGAATCCTTATAAGGAAATATTAAGCAAACTGCTAATATTACCATTATCTCCCCCACCACCACCGCACACACACTTAATATTACTGAGTTAGATCACTCGTATGTGTATCTAGACTGTGGTAAACATGGGCATACCTCAGTTTCACATAGAAGAGCAAGAAAATTATCATTACCTACTTTGCTATTCAGTATTGGTTGTTATACTCACATTTTGGTCATTGTATTCTCCAGCCTTCTTTTTAACTTTGGATTTTCAAACTAAACAATTTATTTAATCTACAAAGCTAAATTCTCATTATCCTTTGTTTTGGAGAAATTTCATATCAGTTAACTCTCCAGTCTTATTCATCTTTGTGTTACTTGTCCATTTGGCACCGTGTGTGAGTATTTGAAAGGGTCTACCAGCGAACAGGTGCATGCATGTGTAGAAGCAAGCAGAGGACATTTTTGAAAATTTGCTATGACTTGCTGTGCAATGATGGCCTTTTGGACATATGTTTATATGGATATTTTACCTTGTTTTGGTGTCAGGAACCCAAACTAAAATTTCTAAACGTATTTTTGGATCATGCGTTGAACAGCATCTACCATAAACTTTAAACTTAACTCAAAAATGAAGGATTTTCAGCCATACATTTACATGGACTTTTGTCTTTGTTTTGGTGAGGAACCCTCCTGCACAGTTTGTATAAATACTTTTGATACACCCTGTAATATACATTATTTGATAGAGTTCGAAACAAGGAAGTAAAGCCACTGAGACAAAGGGTTACTGGGTGTGGAAGAGTTAGGAGCAATTGCTAGGGTGTGAGAATTAAAGAAGAGTAATCAGAAATACAATAGATAACGATTGACACTGCATTTACATTTCTAAAGATCAAAGTTGGCTGGAAAGCGTGGAGCTGGGAAAGAGTTCCACAAGTGGGATGTATGAGAAAATAAGCAGTCAGCATAGAATTTAGTTACAATTATTTGCTTAGTATTATTGTGCCTTGTTTTTTTGTTTCTAATAAAGAAACCTTGTCAATTCTGTTTGTTGAACATTTTTGCCAATTACACTATAACTCCCCTTACCCCCCCAAAAAAAACTATATTTTAATTTCAATAATGATATATTTTAACAGATCATATTTCTAATAAGTAATGGTTTCAAAAGAAAATTTATAGTGTAACCTGTCCCCTACCAAAAATGTTTTTAAAAAAATTTGTTTCTATAAAGTTTCTTGCAAAACAAAAAAAAAAAAAAGAATGGTTTTCTACATATCTAGGTTTCCAATGACAAAGTATCTTAGTCCTAAACTAATCTTGCAAAGCTGACTAAGAAGTTACAGTTCTAGTTATTCTTGTTGGTTCAGATTGTATAAGATGGACTCAAAAACGTTCAGCTCAAATTTCAA